CCCAGCCGCCATCCCCGCTCTGCTCCCCCCGCTCTCTCCATAGCCAGCTAGGAGAAGGACGATGCCAAATGACATGCTCCTGCAGATTGGCAAGATCGAGGCAGAGGGGATCTGGAAGAAGTGAGAGAGGAGCACGCGTCGTAGTCGCCCTTGAATGAAATGATCGCCATGAACTTTGAAACCTCACCGCCTCCCCTGTTCGCAAGCTCGTTACTCACGTTCCTCCTCCATGCCCCCATTCCCTCTTCCTCCCTCCTTCTCCCCGTCCCTCCTTCTCCCCGTCCCTCCTTCTCCCCGTCCCTCCTTCTCCCCGTCCCTCCTTCTCCCCGTCCCTCCTTCTCCCCGTCCTTGCCCCGCCTCGCTGCTCCTTCCAAGGAACGGCATTTCCTAGTTTTCCTCCCAACAAAAAAATTCCAACTGACCGCTTGCCTTCCCCCACCCTCCGCCCCCTGCCTCCCGCTCCCCATCCCGACGCCCCCCTCCCCCTCTGCTACCTTCTCCTGTCCTGTCTCTGACTACCTCGCCTGACCTACACCTCTTCCTCACCTGCTGCCTGCTTGCTCTGCTCTCCCCGCCTTCTCTCCCTTCTCCCCCTCATGTCGTGGGGAGGGAACAAGCCAAGCATGGCGGGAGCTGCCACGAAAGCTTTCCGAGAAGGGGATACGCAGAAGCTGAGAGAGGTCCTCTCGTCCAGCGACGACATCTCCTTCCTCTCCAACAGCCCCGAGCCTCTTGCGTGCCTGGCCGCTCGACAAGGAGCCATCGACATGCTGGATGTGATCCTAGGAGTGGACCCATGGAGCGCCATCGCCATGGACGCAAGCTTTCGCACGCCCCTGCATCATGCGTGCATGCACGGCCATAGGGAGGCGGCGCGGATGCTGCTGGAGCGGAAGCCGGCGAGGGTGGCATGCGGCATCATGATGAAGCAGCAGGACGACTTCAAGGTGCTGGTCCTGCCTCCCCTCCCCATGCTCTGTGCTGAGTGAGATGGTTTCCAGATGACGCCGATCACATGTGCCATCCTCTCAGGCAGGGAGGAGGTGGTGGAGGACATGCTGGAGGCTGGCTCCTTCTCGGGCGTCGACCTCCCCACCAAGGATGGGCTGTTCCCTCTGCAGCTGGCATGCAGCAAGGGCATGCCGCGAGTGCTGTCGAGCCTCTGCTCGCAGCCGCATGGGAAGGATCTGGCGCAGAAGCTGGACAAGGATGGGTTCTCCCTCCTCCACCGAGCTGTGATGGAGGGCCACAACAACATCGCCAAGATGCTGCTGGAGGAGAAGCTCTGCCCTCCTGCCCTCCTCGACGCCTCGGGCACCTCCGCCATGGAGCTCGCGGTCAGCCTGGGGCACGTGGATGCTGCCTGGATGATGCACAGCTTCGTGCCGCTAGAGGTGGCGCGGGAGAGCATGAGAGACCTGCTGCAGCGCAAGATCGAAGAGGAGACGAGGAGTATGTTTGGGTGTGAAGTGGCCTCTTTCGAAGTGAGCGCGTACCAGGAGGGGGAGCTGGTGGAGGAGGTCTGCACGGGGGTGAAGGAAGGGGAGGTTTGGATGGCAGTGCTGAACATATTCCCGCACGGGCAGGACAGTCTGATGCAGATCGATGTGAGTGTGGAGGAGGAGGAGTATCTCCTAGTGGTAGCGCGGACTTACCGCGGGTGAGGACAAAGGAATGAGCCCCCAAACTCCGCAAGAGGCCTCCTCCTCCTCCTCCTCCTCCTCCCCTTGTGCTTCCTCCTCCCTCGGGCTCAGAGGCTCGTGCTCTTGTTCTAGCTTATACAGACCTCGACATCCTGCTCTACGGTGAAAGGAACTTTTATTGCTGCTCGTCACCTTGCTCCGACATCGTCCGCCTCCCCCGCCCCCCAGCTCCTCCCTGATCAGACGACCTGGGACAGGAACTCTTTCCTCCGGGCCAGGAACGTGTCGCGGATGTAGGAGCAGGAGGGGATCACTCTCATCGACCTCGCAGAGCAGTACTCGAAGGCAGCGACACAGAGCTTCTCTGCTATTCCCCTCCCTCTGAGAGCAGAGGGAGTGAAGGTATGCTCCATGTCCATAACCGTCTTCCCGTCCTTCTTCCTCAGCCTGTAGGTCAGGAGGGGTGCATCCTCGCTGCTGGCCCCAGGGACGAGCATCACGAACCTGCTGCTCTCTGGCTCATGCCGGATGCCGTCAGGAGACGAGGAGGCGGCGCCTGCCTCCTGGCATGCTGCCTCCGTCTCTCCCTGCTCCCCCTCCCCGTCCTCCGGTGAAAGAGCCGTGAAGATGGGTGAGTGGTCGCTCCCGAAGAAGCTCTCCCTTTTCCTGCCCCTCCCGACCACGCAGCTCTCCCTCACCCGCTTGCCGAGGCTCGTGGACAGCAGGCAGTAGTCTATCCTCATCCCCCGGTTGTGATACTTGTCCGTCAGGTGCGCTGACCCCGCCACGTCCATGCAGGATCGTCCGAGGATGTGAACTCCTCAGGGCTGTGCAAGAGGCGGAAGGCGTCCACCAGCGATCCCTCCTCCAGCACCTGGCTGAACCTCTCCTGCTCGTTGGCTGTGAAGCCAGGCTGACCCGCATCGCCGCTCGAGGGCTTCGCTGCCGATCGATCGCGATCGTTCCTCTGCGACCGGAAGAAGTCCGGATGAGTGACATCACAGTCCTTGTGTGCCACGTTCATGTCCCCCACCCACGCGACCTCCATCCCCCGCTCCCTGCATGTCCTCACGAAGCTCAGCAGCCTCGTGTCCCACTCTCGCCTCTTGGCGAAGTTGCTCTCCTCCTTCCATCCATTGTTGGGTGCATACGTGTTCACCACAAGCAGCTCCTTCCCATCGTCCTTCACGAACTTCGCCATGCAGACTCTCCCGTTCTCGTCGTGCTCCTGCCCGAGGTCCAGGTTGTAGTGGAACGACACAGGTTTCCTGATGCCTTTGCGGATCATCAACGCAGTTCCTGCATACCTCCAGTCAGCGAGGGACCACCTAACGACATAGTTGCTGAGGGGCTCCTTTCTGAGCGCGCTCGCCACCAGCTCAAGCTCCTCCTTACACTCCTTTTCGTTGTCACGAGGAGAGCCTCGATCGCGCTTCCTCCCATCCCCGCGCTTGGAACCAGGAGGAGCTGACGCGACCATCCTGACCTCTTGCAGCGCGATGACGTCAGGCTCGAGCTTGAGGACGAGGTCACAAAACCCTCTCATGTTCTCCTCCTCTTTGCATCGGTTCACCAGACTGTTGGCGTTCCAGGAGAGGAAGGAGCGAGGAAGTCTACCTGAGGATGCTGACGATGTATCGCTCTCTTCCACCTCTTCCTCTCTCCTCCTCTTCTGCTCCTCCTCCCTCGCCTCCCCATCGCCCGCTCGCTTTAGGAACTTAAGCATGTTGGATCCTGTAAATTTCCTGTGATACTCCATGGTGATTAAAACGCTGGTTATATTTTGATGTTTATTGACTGTAATTTGAAATTTTAAAGAAATATTGTATAATCCATCGTTTACATGAGGTTCAATTTGACCCTCTGGCGGTCTCAGGACACGGTATAAAGGAGGACCAGTAGCGACGCAGGTGAGCAAGGACTGGTGAGAGAGGGAGGAGGTGGGGGGAGGAGGACGAGGAGGACGAGGAGGACGAGGAGGACTGGATGAGGAGGACTGAGGCAGCTACAGGCGTATGGAGAGCAGGCGATCGTAGGCATAGCATGGAGACTGCACACATCTGCGTTATTGGAGATGCCTTCGTCGATATCCTCGCCTGCCCCCTCGATCGCATGCCTTCATGGGGGTCGGACGTGGATTGTCCGTCCATCTCCCAGCATCCCGGAGGATCTGCGCTGAACGTCGCCATTCACCTTGGCGAGCTCCTCCGAGGCACCCCCCACACCTGCTCTTTCTACGGGCTCGTGGGGGACGACGAGTTCGGGCGCTTCCTTCGTTCCAAGCTGGCCGACTCCAACGTTGAAGACAGGACGCAGAGCTCGGGAGACTCTGAGGCCTCGACCGGCGTCTGCATCGTCCTGTCGGGAAGCAACGACCGTGGCTTCGTCACCCACGTCGGCGCTACCAGCAAGCTAGGGGTTGGGCACCTGCAGGAGATCCTCGAGGTGGACTGCAGGAGGAAGAGGCTTCACGTGCATGTGTCAGGGTTCTACTCCTGCCCCTCCCTCCAGCAGCAGCTCCCCGCGTTCCTGGACAAGCTGAGGGAGGAGGCGAGCAGCAACTCCTGCAAGCTCACCATCTCCCTGGACACCAACGGCGACGCCTCGGACCTCTGGGACTGCGGGGTCGCTCGGGTGCTCGAGCGCGTCGACTTCTTCCTCCCCAACGAGGTGGAGGCATCGGGAATCGCTCGGAAGCTGATGAACGAGAGCGAGGACTGCAGCGACCAGCTCCTTGAGCTGGAACGTGCAGCCCAGTGCCTAGCGGGCAAGGTGCAGGATGCGGTCGTGATCACATGCGGGAAGGAAGGCTGCATCTCCCAAACAAGGACAGGAGCAGGCGCTAGCGCTCCTCCCACCCGATGGAGCGCTCCGTCGGGGATAGTACCTGTAGACGCTACAGGAGCTGGTAAGGTAAAGACTCCAGCACTGTATCCTCACACCCGGTGCTGTACAGGCGACGCGTTTGACGCGGGATTCATCTACAGCATGGTGGTCAGCGGAGGTGACTAGGGAGGCGCAGAGGACTGAAAGCTCGGGAAGGAGCTGACGGTGTTGCTGGTCGCAGGCTCCTTAGCCAACGCCATCCAGGCGGGGTCCTGCACTGGAGCTTACTGCACACAGCACAAGGGAGCAAACTCTCGTCCGGTGAGACCAGCGGAGGGAGCGGCAGAAGGAGACGTTGACATGTTGTCGATGATATGTAACGGGTTGCTGCAGATGTCGAGCTCACAACTTGCGGAGATGGTGCAGGAGAAGTTCAAGGCATGTTGACTTTCCTATTTACTCAGAGCAAACCTAAAGATATGACGAATTGAAGATCGACTAGCTAGAGTATCACAACCTGAGAGGAAGTTCCGGCCAGAGCACGGGCTTCCTTTGACTGCAATCCAAGTCGAACATCGCATTCAAATGAGCGTTCTGTGTCTCAATCACCTGGGTGCCATCCTTGCCGAAGAGCTTGATCAGAATTTCGCGCGGAACCTCATTGTCCTGATCAATTGCTGCCAGCATGTCCTGCTCAAAAGGAACAAAAGCTTGTCTGCCCTTTTGAGACTTAGCACCTCCCTTGCCGTTCCCTTTCGCGCCACGTCGCTGCTCCTTGCCATCCTGCGGTTTCTTCGTCGCTTTCATCACTTTCGAAGCGCTCGCAGACATTTCCACCCATGCATCTCCGTCCCCGAACCACAGCCTCCCATCTTCACTGTGGTACTGCTGCTTCGCTGGACCATAGGAACCCTTCACGTCTCTACACCAGTACAGCCCCCGCGAGTCTCTCCAGTAGATGCATCCGTCAACGGCAGCTCTGTCAGCGAAGGAGAAATCCTCATATCGTTGCCACTGGATGCCGTCCCAGAAGAAGAGAGCACCAGGAATGCCACTGTAGTACCCCAACGAGTCCATGCACCAGCAGCGGTTCTCAGAATCCATCCATCGTTGGCATCCATCGTTCGAAGGAGATATGGCCTGTCCCAGCGCCTGAACAGAAAAATTGAAACTTTCGCTCATGATTACAATGATCCACTTTACTTGTTTTGACAAATCCCACCTCGGTAAAACCTCTTTCCAGTATTTCTTCACTCTTTCGATCCCCAAACTCGAAATCCCAACCAGTCCACCCGTCAAAATTCAAAATTCACTTGCTCGCCGGAGGGGGGGCACTGATCCCTTCCTTGTCACGAATAGTAATCATCACACCCAAGGGTGGCCTCTCATCCAAAACTTTGTAAAAATACTCTCGAACATCAGGTGCGGTATCATACACGCAGATCAATCTCTTCGTTTTGTCTCTTCCCAACTGGAAAACAACATGTCAAAGACAGCCAACGCAAAGGGTAGCAAAACGGAAGAAGAAGAAAACAAATCGTCCACATCCACTAGCGGTAAGAAAATAGCGTCCGAACATGTTTGAAAAGAAAGGGGCATAATCTCAAAAAAAGATTGGACAACACAGAAAATCGATCGAATGCATGTAGCAGCATGAAAGAGGGACATCAGAAATGGCAAAACAGCTGTCAAACAGTTATAGATTCAACTTAGAAAGAGAAGAAGACCTGCTCTCTAGCCTTCTTGTCCACGTGCGGTGATCGCAGGATAGTAATGAGCTCCCTTCGGGTGGGTAATCTAACTATGTTCCCGGTTCTCACACCAGAAAGACCGGCCAGATGCCTTATATAATTACAAGCAAACTCGTTAACCTGAGCATCAAATGCCTGAACGTGTATCTGAGCAACCCATTTCTTTCCTTTCCCCTTGGGAGGCAGAGGAACCTTGCTAACTTTCTTCTCATCTTCTTCCTGAGCTTCCACCTGGGTCTCAACCTGGGTCTCAACGGATTGAGCCTCGGATGAGAAGAGTCTTGAACCACGAGGGGCTACAAGGAAAGAAACACGCGCTCCCATCGCATGCAAGGAGGCATTGGTGAGAGAACCATCGCCAACACATAGGGAGCGGTGCTGGCTTCCTAATGGTCTGAACCTGCCTGCTACCGCACTCCCGCACATGGCCCCTTCTGATGCAGCGAGTCTCCTTCCCTGCTCATGGAGAGCAGGGAACAGAAAACTTGCTGCTCCTTGCCTGGCTGCTCCTCCCCCTGCTCCTCCCAGCAGGCGCGCTAACTGCCGACCTGCCTGCATGGACATACAGCTTTGCCACCACGGAATCCAAACCACCCATACACAGCGACTACCCTACCCCCTGAAACGAATACATTCGAGGAGATGCGGGAAGATGGAAGAAATACTATGAATAGGCTATGCAAATATGAAGCTCACTGACACTGCTGCATTTTTTAATACCCATATACCTTGACCACCCCCACCAAATGAACCCTACCCCCAATATTGTGTCTTTCCTCTGTCAGCCTCTGGGAAAAGCGCTGGCTCCCCCATCATCTCCGGAACTCGTAAAAAGAATACCCTACCCTACGGTGTGCCATGACTAGGGGTAGGGTGTCCTATGTTCGAACGGAGGTAGGGGTTACGGAGAAAGGTCAGGGAGATTTGAAGTAGGGGTGATATCAATGGTCTAATGGGGGGTCATGGGTTCACATCGCACTCGCTCAGGGTAGTGCAAATGAAGCTGACGGGTAGGGTGGTGAAGAATTGGAATGGGTGGAGGACGGGTGGGTACTATCCGTTGAAACGGTTACAGCACGAGTTAAAAAAAGATTCGCACGCGCAAGCTCAGGAGGCGACCATGGTGAGCGAAGCATGCGAGAGCGTGCGAGAGATGCGCGGGGCATGGAGGGGGGAGGAGACGTTATGAGGAGACGTGAAGAGATGATGAAGGGTGTGGAGGGTTGAGATGATGTCCAGTGGTTGGGAGATGCATTCTTTCATAGATGCATTCTTGCTTTGGCTTCCTGCACCTGCTGTGTCATGTGTCGATCTCCATAGGGATTGCTCTATATGTGCGCTTCGTGCACATTTGTTCATCTCTTTGTATGATTGATCTTGAAATTCTGTTTTCTGTACACCTAGCTATCAAACTTCTCACTGAAACCTGTTGTACTCCTGGCCCATGGAGCTCTTGATGATATTTCGTGAACTGTGTGAGATGAACTGTTGAACGACATCTCACGCGATTCCTTGCAGAGCAAGCTTCAGAGTGAGACGGTGCGTGAGGCTATCAGGACCATCACCAAGGAGTCGAACGATAAGAAGAGAAAATTTCGTGAGAGTGTGGAGCTGCAGATTGGTTTGAAGCAGTATGATCCCCAGAAGGACAAGCGCTTCAGCGGAACTGTCAAGCTTCCCCGTATTCCGCGCCCCAACATGACCATCTGCATCTTGGGAGATGCTCAGCACTGCGAGGAGGCTGAGAAGAACAGCATCCCCAGCATGGACGTGGAGGCCCTCAAGAAGCTCAACAAGGTACCTGTCTTGCTGAATCGAAAGGAAGAGATCTCTGCTGACACCTAATGTAGAACAAGAAGCTGATCAAGAAGCTCGCCAAGAAGTATCATGCTTTCCTTGCCTCTGAGGCCCTCATCAAGCAGATCCCCCGTCTCCTTGGACCAGGCTTGAACAAGGCAGGAAAGTTCCCCGGCTTGATCACTCACCAGGAGAACATGGTGAACAAGATCAATGAAGTGAAATCAACCATTAAATTCCAGTTGAAGAAGGCTCTTTGCCTTGCTGTAGCTGTTGGACACGTCGAGATGAACGAACAGGAGCTCTTTGCAAACATCAACACCTCAGTCAACTTTTTGGTTTCTTTGTTGAAGAAGAACTGGCAGAATGTGAAATCTCTTAACATCAAGACCACCATGGGCAAGCCTCAGCGCGTTTACTAAGTATCAGGCAGTATGTCAGGCTCACAGTTGGTTCAGCTCCTCGTGGAAGAATGTTTTCTGATATTGAGTAATACGGGAAGGGACAAGGAGTGCAAACAACTTTGAGGATGCGTTGTCTTACTCATGTTGATTGTTTTTCAATGAAATTCGAAACCAAACATGCGCGTTTCTGCTTTCCTTGAAACAATTGTTCACAGTTTTACCTCCTTTCGAACTGATGTTCTTTACTTAGAAAGGCCCGTAAAGTGGTGGTCCATCGTATTGATAGCGATGATCGTAGCTGTATTGAACCGGTGTAGGATTGGCCTTCCGCGTCGGTTCCGTGCAGATCCCAAAGATTTTCAAACACCAACAGACATCGTCAGGTGGGGATGGATCGTTCTGCACCCACACCGGCACCTCTGGCTCTACTGCCTCCTGCACGATGTAGGCAAGAGTCTGCCGGTTCAAGTCAGCCAACTCGTCGGGAGATGTCATGCTCCTTACAGAATCATCGAACACCATGAGCCCTGATTGATCGGTCGCTCTCCGCCATTTCCTCAGCACCTCCTCTGAATCATCCAAGGACAAAGCGCGAACGGTGTACACATCCTTCTCAAGCAGGTCTATCGGAGCATACTTACTAAGCGGATCACTGTCTAATCGGCTGCAGTCAGGAGTTGAGGCATCTGTGCTTGGGCTATAGTGAACCGAGATGATGTTGTCTGCTGCACATTCTTGCAGTTCGCGGTCTCCATAGATGCTTCTAGGTGATGTTTCACTTGGTATGGGCGATGTCACATCAGGAAGCTTCTTATTCCACTCCATCAAATCCAACATCGCTTCCAATGCAATCTGCTTCTCTTCATCAGCCTGAGAGGAATCTTTCCTTCTGAAAGTGCTCCTGCCGCTCTGAGCGGACTCATGCTCTTGATGATTGATCTGGGTGTTCTGCTTGCACTTTTCTTCATCCACCACAAAGAAGTATTGCGGAGAGTCGACATTCCTCTGCTCGATGCCTGAGCCCTTGGGTGTCGCCGGGCCATCGTTGTCCTTCAAGTATGGTTTGTGCTGCAGCACGCGGAAGTTGGAGACTGGTTTCTCGTGCTGCAGCATGGTGAGCGTCATTCGAATAGAGAGCCGTCAGGTAGCAAGAATTACCTTGACAGAAAACAAGGGCTGGTTTGTGGTGTGGGGATTCACAAAGTGAACGACTCTCGGGAGGTCTTCTGACCTCCGAGCAACCTCATGGCCGCTCAGCTCTGGAACAAACGTTGTTCTGTTCTGAACATGCGATAGCTGAATGCTGAGACATCAATGTCGTAAGCAAGATTCAGGAGGGAAAGAAAATCAACCTTCGAAGAGCAATGCGGGGACTGTTCTGCGCTGACTTCTTGGGAGCTTTGAGGAAAACTTCGCCTGATTCGCCAGAGTTTTCTTGCAATACTTGCATCTGTGGAAGACTGTGTCAGCATTACAGGTTCATACTGAGGACGTTCTACCTGTATGTGACTACTGTATGTATGATCACAAGTCTATAGGATACTTCTGACTACTGTAGGATACTTCTGACTACAATATCTCAGTCTCACTCACGTCGAGGTGTCTGATTCCCTCCAATCTCGCTCCCGTTTCCACCATCTCCTCTATACAATATTCGCCGCCATTTCTTCGTTCAACTCAATGTTAACCTACCCCCTCGTTCACCCAGTCGAAGAGTCGGAGGAATGCCATAGTACCCCCTCCAATCCCTTCAATCACTGGTTCAAAGTACCCCCGTAACTACCACCCACCTTTCACAGGGCCAGCATCGGAGTTGTCAAAACGAACTGGGAGGACATCTACAGTTTGAATTTCGACCGTTTGAAAGTTTCAAACGGAGGCGTGTAGGTTAGGGCCTTTAGGCAAATATTTTATCCCGGTGAGTCCGGGCCCGGCCCAGTGACCCCGACTCGCGGCCCGGCCCCGCGGCCGCCAGGCCGCGGGCGTCCCGCGCCCGTGAGTCCGATGCTTTGAGCCCCTCTTCTCAAGAGTCGGGCTGGGTGACATCATGCGGCACAGTGCCGCTCATCGGCCGGCGGCCTCGAACTGAGCCGTCGCCGCCGACCGATCGGACCGACGGTCACTCACCCGGCCGTGAGTTTTATTTCAAGTTTGCTGACTGTACACTGCTGGACTCCATGACATCAAGATCCGATGATCCGAAAAGTACTTAAAGTTACTGATGCTTCTGAAGTAGACTGATCTTGATGTTGATCACTGAGTCGAATCGCTCACTTCAAGTCACTGATCGTGTTCGACGCTGCTGTTTCGAACAAGGTTTAGCACATGATGGAACTGCTGAGCGGAATTCTCCCAATTGGCTCCTAAGATCTGCGACCAAGTGATTTAGAGATTCAACACGCGGCGGAGGAAGGCTTACTTGTATCATTCGCATATCCGACGTGACTGACGAGCGGTAAGCCTTGCCGATGTTGTAGACCAGCGGATCCCCGCGGAACGATTCCTCCACAACAGGCCAGAGGTCGTAGCCTTCGTCTTGCTCTGCTACAACGGATCATTCTACGCTCAGCAGCCCGCAACCGCAACAACCTTGCATTCTCTTCCCTCCCCTGATGTCATCCTTGAAATATGCGCCTGGCCCTGATTGATCATGGCGAGTCAGAGCAGAGGAGGATGAGAGAGGGAGGTGGAGGTCTACCGGGAGTCATCGCCCGACTCCGCACGAAGTCGTTCTGACGTTCCCCCTTGGAGAACTTACCGCCCTTGCGCGTCTGAATGTTGGGGAGGGTGTAGTATGCCGGGCCAGGCGTGTCTCCTCGTGGCACTGCGCTCTTGCTGCGGGGGTTGGGTTTCAGGAGGAGCTGGGCTGAGCTTGAAGTGAAGACTTCAGTTGAAGAGAAGGAGCGAGTCGAGTTGTTGGAGTGGATTTGCTTCTCCCAGTACTCCTTCGCCTTGGCAGCCTTGCTGGCCTTCTGGCTGGGAGGTTCCTGGCCCTTGTTGGAGGTGGCCTCCGATTTCCGTCTTGACCTTGACAAGGTCTTGACCAACTCTGACCCTCTCTTGCCGGAGATGTCGAGAGGATGCCGGCTGTACGGAGTCTTAGGAGCATCGACGAAGATTCGTCGGCGGTTGAGCCTCACGTCAGAGTTCCAGGCAGGTCTGTGGGAAGCATCGGTCCGACTTGTTCTCTCAAGCACCCCGCCGCCCTCACTCTGCCTGCTGTGTGCATGTGGGACATTCCCCATGGACGTGTGAGCGCGCACAGGGTCGACAGACCTCACGCTGTAGGAGGTCCATCGCCGCGAGGCGTCGCCGAGTCGTCGTGAAGGCCTCCGGTCCTCCTGGATGAGGTCGTCCTTGGATAGCTGCTCCAGCACTCCCTCGATGATCATGGTCGACAACCCAGCGACGTACTCTTCCACCACATGCTTCGATCTCGCTGACATGGCAACACTCTTTTCCGCGCTCTCAAAGTCCTCCCTTCTTCTTCCTCCTCCCTCTCCCTCTCCGCCTCCTGCATTTCGATGGCTCCCCTCGATCGGCAGACTTGGGACCCCATGCTCTCGTTCTTCCTCCTTCTCCTTCTCCTCCTCCTTCTCCTTCTCCTCCTCCTCCTTCTCCTTCTCCTCCTCCTCCTCTTCCTCCTCCTCCTCCTCCTCCTCCTCGAAATCTTCGTCATGCTCATCGTCATAGCCCTCTCCCATCTCCACAGGCTGCTGGTCATTTCCCGTGTCCAAGTCGTCAGAGAGCTCATCGAAGTCATCCTCGTCGTAGAAGATTTGCTCGTACTCGTACAGCGCATCGTCATCCTCTATGTCGTCCCCGAAGCTCATGCGCTCTACCACCCCCTGCTTCTTGCTCAGGGTTCCCACCCCTTCACCCTGTGGGAAGTTGTCGACGAATGTGTCCCCTACCTCGTCCTCGAACTCCATCCTCTCCGCCTCCTCCACCTGTCGTTCCGCCCTCCCTTCTCGCCTCCCCTTCAGCGGAGCAGAGGGTCTTGGCTGTCTCGCTGCTTCCTCTCGCAGCCTCTTCCATTCCTCGTCTTCCGAGCTGCTGCTTCCCTCGCCGCCATCGTCCTCCAACGTCAACATCTCTGCTACCCCTCCCGCTCCTCCCGACGGCCAGGTTTCCTCTTCAAAGTTTTCCACTTGCTGGCTCTTTCCTTTCTCCTCCACGGGCTGTTGCCGCTTTCCCGCTCCGGCATCTTCCCTGAGCGCCTGCGAGCGTTGAACTCTGGTACTTGTAGAGCGCATTTCCGGCTAGCTTCGCTTCCTCACGCCTCCATCCTCTCCCTGGCCCTCATCAACTCTCTCCTTGTCGCCATCACTCTCTTCCCCCTGGTCTTCCTCATGCTCCCCTTCCCCTCTCCCCCTCCACACCGCTGCCTGGCTGCTGCCTCCCCTCTACGCGCCACCATGTGGACCGGCCGGCCGATGGCGGTTGCTTTTCGAGCTGGGGCGGGCCTATGGGTAGCGAATAAAAAGGAGGCTGCCCATGGCTCCCCCCCCCTCCTTCCTGTCGCCATGCGCTATCGCTCGTCCTACCTGCTCCTTCGTGCCTCCATGCGCCTTTCCTACACATCTGCTGAGCGATCACGCCCATGCCTCATGCCGGATGAGGGCATGCGGCCTTGGACGAGATGCTGTGCTGAGGGAAGCGCCGCTCTCACTGCAGACCAGCATGTCGACGGGGCAGGAAGGGGACGCGAGCGACTTGTCATCGACCCTCAAGAAGCTGGACAGGAAGAATCTCCAAGTGGATCCTCTTGCGGGCACGAGATGGCTGCTCAAACTCGACATCGGCAGGGAGCCAGGCACTTGGATGGACGCGCGTTGGGGCGCTAGCGGCCAACGAGTCAGGGTGGCCATTGCAGTAGAGATGCAGAGAGACGGGTCCGTTCGCCCGGTCGAGTATCAGTACGGGTTGCTCAGGACGCTGACAACTCCAGAAGGCTCCTCCTTTAGAGTGAAAGGATCGTTCCCGAATGAGGTGTTGGAGTTCTCAATCCGACATGGCGGGCTCCCAGAGAGCAAGACCGGATGTGATGTTAGCTTGCCGGAAGGAGAGATTTTCATGAGCATCGGGACGCTGGGGAACAAGCTTGGTTCGCGTGGGAGGATGTCGATCGAGCAGTATCGGTTCTTTGTGAGACGGGAGCGGAGGATAGTGGGGACTTTCACTGCGGAGAGGATTGATTGAGGACGAAAATTATTCTTTGAGTTTGCTTTTCTTGATAATGCTTTTGATTCTTTTTCTCTTGTGTCCACTCCTTTCTCCAAGTCAAGAAGCAAAACGATTCTTCACATCAAGCCTTTCAACTTCAATAGACATCCATGCCTTCTTTACACATTTCTGCACGCCTATCCTGGCATGTATTTTGTACAACATCAATTCCGAAAATTCTTGAGGATATCATCCCATTCACTGGCAACCTTGTTCCAGCTGCGTAGAAAGATGTTGCAGCAAGCACATGTCAACGTCTGATCTTGCCAGGGGAGTGCAAACCTGAAGCGATGTCTCGCCCATTCTTTCATACTCCTCCTGTACCCCTCCAGCGTCATGCCGACCTGACCAGTCTTCCTCTGCAGCCTCGTCAGCCCGCGCGTCCAGCCAAGACTAAGACTAGGATCCTTCATACCTCCAGCATACTCCTCACCCTCGCTTCTCCAGATGCTCCAGCGGCTTCGCAGACCGTTTTTGTCCAGCGTTTCAGCCAGTCCAGTGAGATGCTTCCCGTTCCGTTGACTAAACCCACCGGATGCTGTCCCAAGTCAAAGAGCCCTGCCGTCTCGGGGATCGCAGAGCCCTCGAAGCGGCTGGTGATGGGGATGGCGCCGGCGATCTGCGAGAGGAGACGGTTGCTGGTCAACTGCAAGGGGGAAGGACGGGAGGAACCTGAGCTTTCATGAGGGCGATGCAGGAGGTTTCGGGGAAGACTGTCGGGTAGAGGTCTGGAACGAGAGGTGAGGAGAGTTTGAGAGTTGAGCACTCAAAGGTCCTCACAGAAGCCAGCTTGAGACAGCAAGTGAGCCAGGGACGAGTGCGAGACCATCCCGTAGTAGTTCACTCCCTCGTCCTTCATCTGCTCACCATCCGTCATCCTCCACCTGCTTCCAACTCCTGCCACCTTCTCCATCGCCCCCGACACGTGCGCCATCCATTCCTTGTAGACCGGATCCTTCGATGCAAGCTGATGGTCGTGCTGGAAGCAGCCTCAAGAGCGAGGGGGAGGAGAAAGGAGACACTCATCGACGTACCTGGGTGAAGCCGTAGAGCACGCTCAGGGTCGCGTTCTTCCCTACCTCTCCCAGGCACCTCCTGATGGTAGTCCAGGCCTGTCTGGCCGTCAGAGGTAGCAACAAGCGCCAACCCGCACCTTCAGCACGTGCAGGAGACCTCTTGACGGCATCGACGCGTAAATGAAATGTTCGGAGAGGTTTGGCCCGTCAGTGAACATGTCCTCGTCAACCCCGTTCTGCGTGATGATCGCCTTCCTCTTGAGACGATCCGGCAGCAAACTCGCGTGGAAGTCAGACAGCACCAAGACACCATCCACTTGCTTCATGAGGTGATCATAGCCAGCTTGCTCCTGCCCGAGCTTGAGTCACCTGCCCTTCACCACCTCACCAGCACGGCTCACCTGAACTGTGTCGTGCAGCCAGATGAAGCGCTTGCTCGCTGACTTGGCCATGAGCATCGGCGAGGCATAATCCCTCCAGGCAACATATCTGAGCGCACGACCCTCAGCATATCAGGACTTGCGCATGCCTCCCTTCCTACAACGTCTCGACGTCTTGAGAGTGAGCACCTTCCCACTCCGAGGAGCAGGGGAGCAGCCACCAGGGGAGCCAGAGGGTCCCATCCCTCGCCCTCCCGCTCCTCACGGGCCTCCCGTAGATCTCCACCTGTCGCCCACCCTCTCAGACCTCCACCTGAGGTGCCAGCTGGAGCCGACCTGCCAACCCCTCGCTTGCAGGCGGGCGGAGAGGTGGATAACGGCCTGCTCCGAGCCTCCGATCCCCGAGTCGAGAGCGCTTCCGTCCCACCTGTTAGGAGCAGTCAGTCCATATGGCCAAGTGCTTCAAGACAGTCACCTCCCCGTGGGCGTGTTCCCCTGAATGAAGCAGCCCACGACGAGGACCTTCCCGCCGTCTCGTGCGGCTGCGGCGGTCAAGGTGAGGTGAAGCGATGAAGGCATGTGTCGCACCGTTTGCACGATCTTGTCGCATGAGCTCAACCTGCGCGTCGAGGACTCCTGGCGGCATCTTTGACTTTGCTATCTCTGCTCCCCTCAAGAATGTCTTGACGGCCTGAGGATGACGATTGAGAGGAGGAGGAAGACCTGCATCTCCATCTCACCTGCGGCCCACAGCCTTCGTCTGCGAGTCTGAAGAACAAGTTCAGATGGTCCTCTTCCGTAGCATCAAAGAGAGCTGCATGCAGCTGCAGGAGCCTTGTCGCCTCTCTCCTCCTGCCCGTTGCATCCAGCGCCTCCGATAACAATCTGGGCAACCTCACTGACCCAGGTCAGCCAAGACCTCTTGGCACCTGTAAACGTTGGAGTCTCGTTGCCCGAGTCTCATCGCCAGCCGGAAGCTTCGGATGCTATCCTCGATCTTCATGCTGCTCTTCTTGAAGATGCCAAAGTTCGCCCACAGCCTCCCGCACTTGAAGCATTCGAGCACGCCCGTCTCCTCCAGCTGTCCTGGGCCTCTGTCGCCAGCATCTCTTGCTATGCTGGACAATCCCATCCAGGCCTCCTCGAGCCTCTCGAAGTCTGCCTTCTCCAAGGACGAATGTCTCGCTCGCTCGAACGCCTCCCTTGCCTCGTCTCTCTTTCCCATGGCTCGCAAGATCGCTCCCACAGTCAGCATGGCCCTGAGGTCACCAGGATCACGCTCGAGAGCTGAACGATGCTCCTTGTACGCCGCCAGGAGGCGAGGGTCGGGATCGGGATCAGGACGCGCTGTGTGCATGGCCTCGTTTCGTTCGGCTCCTCCCTCTCCTCCCCCCCAGGTCAGCAGGCATGCCACAAGCACCGTCCTAGCGACCGCCGGCATTGCCCGACAATCTCAGTAAGTTAACTGAAAGTTGGATAGTTGAGTAAAAGAATGAGTACACTTCCCCTGTCGGGGAACTGCCAGGGCAGGCCTGTGCGCGGCGAGAGAGGGAGAGGAGGGAGGGAGGAAGAAGAGGGAGAGAGGGAGAAAGGAAGAGGAGGAGGGAGGGAGGGAGGGAGAGAGGGAGGAAGCGAGACGCTGATATCCTGAGATAGAGGCAGAGGGAGGATGGGAGGAAAGATCGGGAAGCTTCTCCTTGCATCCACGTTGCTCCCCGGGTTCGCCGGCATGACCTGCTGGGCGAGCGACCAGAGGAGGGGAAACGCTGTGATCCTGTCCCGCGACTACGAGAGGCTGGAGACGCTGGGAGCGCAAGGATCCCTCATGAGGGGGCACGAGGTGACCGGCAAGGCCCGCTGGCTTGGAGGGTGGAGGCTTGCAGCGGGGGTTTCTTATGAAGTGCTGCCGGAAACGGGGAGCATGCGTGTGACGTGTAGCCGGGAGTCAGGGTGTGGGACAGACTTCTCGAGGGAGGACAGGCAGGTGAAGGTACCCCGAGCATGCTGCAGTTGCTTGACCTTCCCCGTGCAGAGAGAAATTTGGAGTTGGCAAGGGCTGGTGATGATGAACGTGACGCTGCCAGGTGACGTCCCGTACATCCTTAAGGTCTATGGAAGTGCTCCAGAGCATCGGAAGGTGGGCGCAAGCGCAGGGCACCCCGAGCCGTTCCTTGCCTGTCCCATCGTTGTGTCCGAGAGCAAAAAAGTAGTAGGGAAACACTCACCCGCCTCCATGGTGCTGGTGGGAGGATGCCAGGTAAGAGGGGGGGTTGGCTCTTTCTGGGGGTTCTGATGCCCCTGTCTGCTTGCTAGTCTCCTCTCTCAGAGGACGGGAGCTTCGTCTCTACCTCCGCCTTCCGCACGCAGCAGGGATTGTTCACCAGGTCTCGGAGGACGCAAGTCTGCGGGGCCTTTGGCGATGACGACCCGCGCGCAGGTTTCACGTAGGAGTTCTCTTCAACGATCGAGCGAAGCAAGGAGATTCTTTCACGGTGGTCGACATGATCCTTCAAGTTGTCTTCGCGTTCCAGCCGGAAAACATCCAGATCGAACCAAAGAAGTTCTACGAGGACTCAAACCTGCTGGCACGTGGAAGAGAGGTTGCCTCGGGATTGCGCTGATGAGACGTTCCAGTCGGAGGCCGCGCGGGGAGAAAGGAACGAGCCAATCGACAAGCAATACATCGAGCTGCTGGCTGGCAGTTTCGCTTGCCCGGACATCATATCGTTGACGAGACGCCAGGTTGAGGTGCAGGTAGAGCAGGAGGAGGGGACCTTGTTCAAGGTCTCAAGGGTTGCTTTGTCTGCAGGAGATGTATGACGGACTAGTGACAAGACTGAGGGGAACTACTCGACCGCTGCATTTCTACTCCTTCTACGGCCGAACCAGCAGGTGTCGTCACTCCATTCCTCCTCCCCCTCCTCAGGAGATTGATCCTCTCCAGCCACGATTGGGATCAGATCGTACGTATGCACGTTGGGAACTTGGGATACAAGGTGTCCCACCTCCTCCTCCTCCTCCTACTTCCGCTCCTTCTGAGCAAAGCGATCAGAGGGGAGACAGGGTCTTCGAAGCTGGATGTGCAGCAGGAGCTTTTCTTGAATCTATTGCTCGCCAGGTGCGGGCAGTCTCCTGTTCCCAGCTCCTCGTGACCTGGCGTGACCTTGATGCAGTACGGGTCCTACGTGGCTGGAGTCGACATTGCTGGCGCTTTGATCAATGTGATCCTCCCCCCCTGCGTGATGTTGGCTGACGCCAGACGCGCAGATAGCGCGTAGTCGCGTCCCGGGGCATTTTTGTGTGGCTGTGAGCTGAGTTGTGGCAAACCCCCGACAGGTGCTGATCCCCTTGAGCAGCCAGCGCAGAATCTCTCCTTCATCCGCAGGGAGACTTTCGATCACAGCCTGAGGTGCCGCCCCTTGCTGGCGAGCGGCTGCCCGTAACTCTCTGCCCCTGTCGCAGTTTCGGCGTCCTCACGTACGCGGAGCACGCGATCCAAGCCTGCGAGGTGGCGCGCGAGCTGGTGCGCGTCACCAAACCAGGTGGGCAGAGAGCAGAGGGATGAAGGAGAGGACGATATCTCAACGGGTCCCGCAGGCGGGACGATCTTCTTAGGCCAGCTCAACGACCCTGACATGGCTCCCTACCGCCCTGAGCAGATGCAAGGCAGCACCGGGGTACCTCCCGACTTGTGGTGAGCAGCAGCGCAGGTTCTTCCCCTCCCCCGCTGACGCCGCCGGCAGGTTCAAGTTTGCGCTCGCTCTTGACCTGGAGGTGGATGTTGCGAGAGGGGAGGAGGTGTACTCGCGCCGGGTCATCCCCGACCTGGAGCACTACGACCTGCATGCCTACTACCGCTACAACGTCTACCTCAGGTCCCACCTCCCCCTTTCTCTCAGCTCTCACGCGCAGCCGGCAGGAAGAGAAGGGAGCAGGAGACAGGCAGGAGGGGGAGGCCGCTGGACGTGGACTGCGGCGCCTTTCGCTCCGAAAGGTGCGCCTCCTCCCTGCCCCGTCTTGCCATTTCTCAACAGTCGTGTGCAGGTCGATGGAGCGATACACGGTGGACGGCAGAGGATGCGCCATCCCGTTCCGGTACAGGTGAAGCCAGGAGGAGCCGCCATAGTGGTTTCTCCTCAGCTTGACGCTAGAGTTGCCAGGAACGTCCTCTTCGACGACTGCACCCTTGTGGAGAGGGGGGTAGGAGAGTGGTGCTGTACCGACCAGGAGGTTTGCCTGAATGCACCTGCTTCCTCTTGCTCATGGTCCCCTGCAGTGCAACACTACCAACTGGAGAGAGTGTGCTCCTGTCTACCGGAGACAAGCCTGAACAGCAGCACGCCAACCTCTAGACCCATCCTATCTCAAAAGCCAGCTCATCCCATTTCAAGTGAGCTGGCTGGTTCTCCCAGAAGCAGAAAGGTTGCTTGACGTCATCGCAAAGACACGACAATTTGTGAAAAGGTTTCACCCACTAACTTGAAAGAATGGAGTCGTCAAAAAGGTCTCCGAAGGAATTGAAGAAGTTAGTGTCGATGTCCACCTATGCAACATTCGTCACAGGGCAGACAGGACAGCATGCCATCATGCTGAGCAAACCACATACCAATCGCACAGAACAAGCTACACTATAGAAAAGATCATGTTTGCAATCAATTAACATCAACTTGATGCTGAGAATTTCGATGGGAAAACAAGAGCACGTCACAGCATGAAGGAGAGGAGAGGAGGACAGGTGGCATTCTCTCTCCCTACAACTCTTAAATCACTTTGTCTCACCTTGTCGCCCGTGTCCACGTCCTGCATGCTCATCTCCGGATCAAGCTGCATCTCCGCGTCCTCTATCCCCTCCACCTCCATCCCCTTCCCTCGACCGCGCAGCCGCTGCATACCCGGTCAATCACTCAGCACTACCCTACCCCTTCATTTAGCCTCGAGTTCCTATGGAGTACCCACCCCTATTAACCACATCACCCGATCCACCCCCTGCTCTCATCCACTACCCCCAGAACTCATCTGTTGGTACCCCTCATACCCTGTTTCTACACGCGACATCAGTACCCCTTCAATTACTATTGATTACCCACCCTTATCCCTCCACCCACTTCCCAATCGAGTGATGACCCCTCCTTTAGCCACAAGCTCACCCCACCCCCCTCGTCCACTCTAAGGTGTAACAATGGTGGCTCGCGCGATCCTCTCTTTCGTCGCGCTCTTCGGCGCCGCCCATGCCTTTCAGCTCGGGACTCCCGTGCGCCATGGCCTCTCCTCCTCCTCTTCTCCTCTCCTCCGCACTTGCCTTCACCGTTCGGCTTCTTCCTCTGCACCGACGGTCTCCCCTCGCCTGCGAAGCCTTCGCATGGCTGACGAGGCCAGGGCAGTGGGATCTCGCGATTCCGGACGACACATGGAGGACACGAGCGAGAGGAGCGAGGCAGTCAGCGACATCTACAAGCCGTTCTGGGAATGGGCGGCCAAGACCATCAAGGAAAGACTGGGAGACGACCTTGTCTCCTACCCGATCCCCGACGGATATCTAAGGAAAGAAGCCATGGTCGGCAAGGGGAAGAGAGAGAGCCTGGCCTGGACGCAAAGTTACGGATACCAGACTAAAAAGATGAGGCAGATCCGAGCCGCGCACGTCAATGGAGGAGCTTCCCTTCAGGTCCTGCTCTTTCTGTGATGCACATACTCTTGATAGTTCCCTCAGGTGCTGAACCTTGTGTTCTTCCCGCACATGAACTACGACTTGCCCTTCCTCGGACTAGATCTGGTGACCCTTCCCGGCGGTCACCTCATCGCCATCGACATGCAGCCGCTGTTTCAAACTGAGGAGTACAAGAAGAAGTACGCCGAGCCATGCATGGACATGTATCAGAAGCACGTGAAGAACTTGCCATGGGGGGGAGACTTCCCTGAGGAGGCGAAGCAGTACTTCTCCCCCGTTTTCTTGTGGACAAGACCGCAAGAAGACAAGCAGGTGTGGCCTTGACTGGCAGCGTAGGGAGGAGAGGCTGATGCATAGATGTTGCAGGTAGAGACATATGTGTTTGAAGCCTTCAAGGATTATATCAACAAGTATCTCGACTTTGTCGAGGCTGCAAAGGTTGACGATGATTCTGCCTGTTTCTGATGTGTCGTGGTGTATCATTTTGCTCACATGTTTTGTTTGTGTCGTCATGTATGATTGCTCTGCGAGGCTCTTCAGCATGATGATCTTTTCTCACCCTAACGGTTGCTGCAGCCAGTGACCGATCCTGATCATCTAGCTCGCATTCGCGAGCGCCAGCTCTCATACCTGCAGTACAGAGCAGAGAAGGATCCAGGTAGCCACGTCATGTTGTCTCGTGCTCATGCTCCCTGACGCCGCTCGCTCCCCTCCCCCGCAGCACGAGGAATGTTCACTCGCATGTATGGACCTGAATGGACCGAGCGCTACATCCATGGCTTCCTCTTCGACCTGGAGGTGATGGCGACCATTGGATCTTATCGTGTCTCTCATGTCCTCCGCAGGAGAAGATGGAGAGCGGCGAGTACAAGACAGGGGAGTTGCTCCCATGCTCGGACCCCCTCAACTTCCAGCCCACGCCCCTCTGAACGCCTCAAGGAAGAGCGGCCGTATCAGCGGAAGATGCGTTTATTAGCATCAGTTGAAGTTTGTAACATCAGATGAGACCTCTGGCTTCACCAGAATCCGAAAAAACAAAAAGGGATTCGACGAAATCAAAATGTATCCCGAGAAAAAGGTCAAAAAGGTCAAAAAGAGCAGTGAAAGCTCTGAAGCTCTCCATTGAAGGTTGGCCATCAGGGAGCACAAGAATGTGTGTGTGAGTGAACAATGGCACGAAGCCGCAAACGTCATTGAATTGCGGGATTCTTCTTCTTGGTCGGAGCAGCAGCCTCTTTGAGCTTCTCTTTCTCCTGCTCGAGCTGCATCCAACCCCGACCATTTGCCAGCTGCTTCCTCCTTGCAATCGCCTCTGCCTGGCTTTGCCAGTAGAGCGTCAGCACGTTGGTCTGTGAGAGCTGTAGCGGCAAGGTCAGGTTGTTGCCTCCTCGCGCAGCCGTCTCTGCCACATCATCACCTGCTTCGGTGGTCCGACAATGCGAACAGAGAAGAGTCCAAGGGCACCGAACTACTCGAGCAAGTCAGAGGCGCTGCCAGCTCTGTCTTCAGTCCTCCTCACCCGCGACCTGAACGCCCTGTGCGCCTCCGGGGACCGCAGGTCCTCCGCCATGATGATCTTCGAGTCCGGGGCGGCCACCGCGCACATGGAGTCGAGCAAGGCAGCATGGATGGAGGTGCCGTAGGTGATGTCAGCTCCGCACACGATGTCATACCCCTCCCCGCCAGCGAGCTGACTCAACTGAGACGATTGGGAGCGTCAGTCAGAACTCGCACAACACGCAGGAGAAGCTTGCTCGTACCTTGTCAACATCACTCCAGTCGACCTCGAGGACTTCTACCTTTCCCGTCAGAGCAGCGCATCCCTCGGGGAGGATCGACTGCCCTTGTTGCCGCGCAGCCTCCAGGAAGATCTCCACGTTCTGCCTCAACATCGGGAGCACCTCCTCCTTGTCCGTCAGGACGACCCGCTCGCACCCGAGTGCCGCCATCGTCAACCCCACAAGGCCCGCGCATCCGGACCCCAGCTCTATCACGCTCCTTCCTCTCAGGCCCTCAGGTCCAAACTCATGAGAAGCTCCTGGCGCTCCAGCCTGGAGGTATTGCGAGAGCACCACGGACGAGTTCCAGATCGTCGAGCCGATCATCATCCCCTTCTCCTGGATCTCCATGGAGCCCTTGAACTGCTGCACTCTGAAGGAGATGCCGCATATCTGTATGTCTTTTTCCTCCTCGTTGTGCATTGTGTCGAAGGCTATCTTCATCTCTCCGTCGGCGAACAGATCGAGCATCATGTTGCCTGACTCTGCTGAGAACAAGTGCTCGATGCCACCAACGGGATGCTCGAGAGAAGTCTTGACCTTCTTCGCGTCCTCCTCTCTCTTGCTCTTGCTCCTTCTCCCGCTCCTCCACTAGCTTGTTCAGTGCTCGCCTATCCAATCCTGCTCAGTCGACTAGCCTACTAGGGCCCACGAGCCCCCGAAACTTAAAACTCTCCTGCAGGATTCTAAAACTATTTTCACTAATCCTCCTACAGATTTGTACTGAGAATCTGTGTAAAACTATTTTAAATAATTATAAATCAAAAACACTTTTCCCTCTGGCCATCAGCTCCAAAGGCGCCCCCTAGGCAGAGTTCCCTACGCAGACTATGAACTGAGGTCGTAGATAGGTCCTAGAAAGATAAGGAAAAAGGCCTAGGAGGTACTACCCCCTCAATGTTCTACTGTTGGAGGGATAAGCACTCACCCCCCTTCATCACTGAAAAAGGACCCCTACATGACCTAGTACCCTTCTGGCTCACCACCCCCTATAAGAGAGCGAAACTATTCAAGTACCCCTGCTCTATCAATATGACCCCTACTTTTCATATGAAAAAAAGGGGTAATAGAGTACCCTCAAGGGCATGACCCAAGATTTTCCATCCCCTGTACCCCCTGGACACACCTGAGGCCCTCATCCCCGTACCACACCTGCCTGGAGGTACCGCACGTGCGATCATGGCGCGAGCGCCGAAGAAGAAGGGGAAGACGGGGGAGGCAGCGAGCTACGTGACGAGGAACCAGGCGATCAAGAAGCTGCAGGTGACGCTGGGAGACTTCCGGCGCCTCTGCATCCTCAAGGGGGTCTACCCCAGAGATCCCAAGAAGAAGGCCAAGGGCAAGGACAAGACTTACTACGCCACCAAGGACATCTTGTTCCTTCTGCACGAGCCTGTGCTGTCAAAGCTGAGAGACATCAGGGCACACAAGAGGAAGATTATCAAGGCGAAGTCGAAGAAAGATTTTGTGCTGGTCGAGTACCTGGATAAGCGCAAACCCTTCTACTTGCTCGACCGTCTTGTGAAAGAGAGGTTCCCTACCTTCACGGATGCTGTGCGCGACATGGACGACGCTCTGTCAATGGCAACCTTGTTCTCCAATCTCCCAAGCACAAACTTGATTCAAAGCAAGCGAACGTTGAACTGCAGGCGTCTCTGTCTCGAGTTCTTCAACTACGTCGCCCTGTCACATTCTCTGAGAAAGGTCTTCTTGTCCATCAAGGGATGTTACTTCCAAGCAGAAGTGCAAGGGCAGTCAGTGACGTGGCTCGTTCCTTACAACTTCGTGCAGGAAGTTCCCCCCGACATCGACTACCGCGTGATGATGACCTTCCTTGAGTTCTACGAGACCCAACTTCACTTCATCAATTTCCGCCTGTACAACACGCTCGGGCTCAAGTATCCGCCCCAGGTTGATTTGCAGAAAAGCGACGCAAACTTGGGCATCAATGCCTTTCTTCTTGAGCAGATCTCTTCGGAAGACCCAGAGGCTACTCCAGCAGCCCCTGATGCAGCCAAGACTGTCACGGCACAAAAGAAAGCTTCTAATGGGGAGAAGAAGCAGCAGCAGGCTAAGATCAAGTCGCTGCAGGAGAAGATGCAGGACATTCTTGAGAACGAGAACGAATCAAAGTCGCAGGAGGACGTTGGGGAGGACATCAATGCTGACCTCGAGGACGAGGAGGCCGAGGAGGAGGAACAGGAGCAAGGGACTGAGACCCTCCTCTTCAAGAAGCTCAAGTTCTTCTTGTCAAGGGAAGTCCCCCGAGCTCTCCTGGAGCTGATGATCAAGTCCTTTGGAGGAGCTGTGGGGTGGGAGGGGCCCGGAAGTCCCTTCCCTGAGAGCGACGAGTCCATCACCCACCAGGTGGTAGACAGAGACACTCAGCGACACATGTTCCTGAGCCGCGAGTACGTCCAGCCTCAGTGGGTCGCAGACAGCTGCAACGCTGGCTTGCTTCTCCCTGTGGAGGAGTACGGGCCCGGAGTCTGTCCTCCTCCGCATCTTTCGCCCTTCGTGGATGATGAGGAGGAAGGATACCTGCCGGAGCGGCGCAGGTTCATCCTGTCGCTGCAGGAGAAGTCGAAGAACCATGCTGGAGCTTTCGATGACATGCCACAGGACCCTGCAGAAGGCGATGAGGCAGATGCCAAGATGAAGGATGAGGACGAGGAAGAAGAGGACGAGGAAGAGGACGAGGAGGTTGACGCTGCTGAAGCGCAATATCAGAGCGAGTTGGCAAAGGAGTCAGGCAAGGAGGAAGCAATATCAGCGCCCAAGTCGACGAAGACCAAGAAGACTAAGGCAGAAATCGAAGAGGAGCGAGCTAGGATGATGATGTCGAAGAAGGACAGACGGCTGTACGATAAGATTATGTTCGCCAAGGAGAGGAAGCGTCAGAGGGTGCAGAGGTTGGAGAACAAGAAGTAAGATGAGACAACATGCGCGCTCCTACAGACAGACTGTTATTGTTTCTAGAAAACTTGAGTTTTCATGCCTTGCCATGCACGAGCCAGAGATGTCATCAAAGACGATCGTGTTGTTCATAAAGTGGAAGAAGTAAAGTTTGACACAATAGTTGCCATTTGGGTCCTTACTTACACTCCACAAAAAGAAAATACTCTAAGAGCACACACTCATCTCTGTCGGCCGGAATGGGGAAATACAAAAATCATGGAACGCGGAAACTACAGTCATCCTGTATGATCAATCTTAATGTGATAGCGCCTTGGAGAGAACATAAACTAAGACAATAACTTGAGGCTAAGCATTTAAAGTAATTCACCATTCCACAAGATTGGAGCCAACTTGGAAAATCATCTAGCCCTTCAACAATGCAATACATCTGGAGATGAAGCATGGCCCTCCGTAGCTTCGTAAGGTTGCCCGCCATGTTATAGAAGATATTCGCAAGTCAGCAAATGAGAAACTTTGCCGCCAATTACACTACATCATTGCAAACAGAGACAATTTCTGGGATTAAGCTCCTCCAAGGCTTTCTTCCGTCAGTCTTCTCACCCTCTTATTGTATGCTTTTCTGTCCTGGAGAAACAGCTCCGCAGCTTCTGGGTTTGCTGGGCTTCCACAATTCGGATCCGTCAAGAGCGACTGAATAGAGGTTAATACAGAGCTGACTGTGTATGAAGGACTCCATTTGTTCTGAATGATGTCCAGGCACAAAGTTCCATCTTGATAGACTGCAAAAATCGAATTAGTTTCAAGCCCAGGCCAGGAGACAAGGACATGCAGAACAAACAACCTACCGTTAGGGTGAAAAACTTTTGTTGTAAAGCGAACTTTCGGGGGCTTATCTGGATACTGATCGCAGAAGGTCATCCGCAAGCTGAATATTCCCCCTTCCCAAGGCGTATCTGCTGGCCCAAAGATTGTCGCTGTCCAAACAAAAATATTTTCTTCACTAAGGGGTGCCGCACTTGCTCCCTACAAAGCATACATCACAAAATCGCAGAGGTTTATGGTGACATGCTCGACTCACCTCTGGCGCATCTTTTTGCATTTCACGAAGATCACTCATTAAACGCAAGGTTGCGGCATTCTGCGACATTTCACCTAACTGGCTCTACTGGATACCGCGTTCTGAAAGGTATGAATGGAAAAGCTTCCGCAACAAGATTCAGGGTCCTCGAGGATTACAAGATTTCTGATCTGTAAAAAATTGTCAAATCAATGCACAAATCAAAATTCACATTCAAGTGGATACAAGGAAGGTCAGAGATTTTTTCAGTGCAGGGAAATTACAACATACGGACTGAACATGCTCAGCAAATGAGCGCAGCATGTAAATAATGACCGGAGAACACTCCAACCACATCGAAAAAAATCGTCTTTAAAGAGAAAAAACGAACTACGATCAGGGCTAACAAGGATTCCCATCACAAAGAGGCAACATGTAGCGGACAATCATCCGTAGGATGATATAAATAATCAAACGAACACGGGAAAACGTTTCAGTTGTACGAAGCATCAATGGCTGTGTGCTGTTCTGCTCTCCGATCAAAACTAAAAAAGTCATCTGCAGGGATGGGCAAAGTTGGTCTGGAACGCGCAACAGACAAAATTGGCTGGCGAAGCAAACCACAAGACATAAAGAACATTCGAGGTCCCAACCATAGTCAATTTTGGAAGCAAAGACTATGCATGTCATGCTTGCCTATCCCACAAGCTACTTTCGACGCAGATCAGGAGTGGGTAATTTCAAAGTAGTTCCTTGCGAACCCCAAAGTCGCCATGAAGGGGTTTACAGTCGAAACGCACAATCCCTTCAGCAGTAAAATGGTTTTTGACTTGAGATGAATTCAGAAGCTGCAAAAGTGCGAGGAGCGATGCGAACACAGCTAGAAGGGTGTCGATCGAATCGGCAAACTAAGCTGCTCAAGTACAATCCGCTACATGGTACAAGGAGCGCGCTCTCGAAAATCGTGCAGATTGACAGACCACAACATTCAAGAATGTCGAGATCCACAAGAAACGATATAACAGTACAATGTACAGGAGGAGGAGGAGGAGGCAGATGAGCGGTGGCATTGAACCTGCTGTCGGCGGGGGGGGGAGGAGCGGCGGAATGGTGGAGGATGAGAGGGGTGGGGGTGGTTTGTGGTACACGAGGGGGTGAGGAGGGTACTCCGCCTTCCAAAGTTTGGTAGGGGTGGCATTTGGGAGTATTGCGGTGAGGGTTGTCTACAACATGGGGGTGGGTGGCAAAATCAATTAGAGGGTAGGTGAACAGACAGGTGGGGTGAAAAAAAGATGAAGCATGAACAGGGGGTACATTACATCTTGGGGGTTATCAGGGCCCTAGCAAGCCAATGAGGTCTGGACAGTGAGATATTTATATTGATCAACAATGATGGATTTCCTCAGTCTGCAGCACCCATCCGGGATCATGCCTTTGTCCTTTTTCGGAGAGGTTGGGGTCATGAAGAAGGGGTGCCGTGACTAAATGTGGGGTTAGTGCTGAGAAGGGGTCCATTGAGGTCTAGGGTGGGGCACCCTAGGAGTGCAAATTCAGGGTGCAACACTAGTTAGAGGGGGTGGAGTAATCATGGGGGTGGGTTTGAGGAGAAGTTGGTGGTGGGGTGGTACAAACTCGTGGTGGGTGAGGAACCCGATTTGTCTTATTTGTGAGGGGTAGTGAACGGAGGTGGTACTTTAACAGGGGTAGAGGGTGAGTGACTCAATATAATCGGGGGTACTAAAACAAGGAGTTGTGAATTATGTATTTCAAGGTGGGTAGTAACGACTGAATTCATTGGGTATAAAATTCATCAAACAAAACTAGAAGGGTAGGGTGGTATTATTGGGGGTCAGGGGGTTATGGTAATTTCAAATTGGTTTGCCAAAGATAGGTAGTATTGGAGACAAAAAGGGGTGGGTTGTCCAATCGAGGTTCCATGGGTGGGGTGATCCAAGAAGAGGAGATCGCTCTAGAAGATCTTCTGTATCTAGGGGTGGGGGTAGGGGCATGAGGGGTCCGGGTTGAAAAGGATGGTAGGGGGTAGAATTATTCGAACCTTTCAGGTGGTAGGGTACTTTCACAGGGGTAACATTCTAGGAAATAACCAAGGCAGTCCCTTCCAAAGGGTGGGTACTTTTGCAACTCAGCCACTGGGGTGGAAGTCGGTTGGCTATAGATGGGGTAGTGGCTACATATGACTGGGAGAGGTGGGTAATAATAATCCATTCGAAGGTGGGGTAGTCCCAAGGGATGATCGAGGCTTTTGCAAGGAGGTCATACCTATCTAGGTAGGGGTGGAACAGATTACTCATCGTTGTAATGGGGTGGGGTAGTGAAGAGGGTGGTAGTCAGTCATCGGTCAAGGTAGAGGAGGGGAGGTTTGACCTTCGAGTGAGGGACACATGGGGGTGTCTTGGAAAGGAGGGTACCCATGTGGGGTAGGGGTTATTGTGGTCAGCGGTACTTGATAGGGGACATACAGAGGTGTCTGGTAGGGTACTATTGCTGACCCCACCCCACCCCTTTGAATTGACAAATTACACCCCCACTTTGCTATCATTTCTTACCGGTGCTGAATGAACAATCCTGGCCTCCTTTTTACCGACAGAGCCTGCCCCAACGAAAGATTTGAAACCATCTCGAAACTTATTGATCAAAAATAGATATCGGACTCTTTGCACGTGTAAAAGGCAGCCTCAAATCTGAAATTTTATGGACCATTCTGACGGAATGAATGCCTTTCTACCTCAAACAGATACGAGGGGGTGGGGTGGGGAACTTAAGCATGGCCCCCCTCAGATACATTTATGTCTCAAACCGTGCCCCGGCTGAGACTCTCCGAGGCTCAGTGCCACTGGCTGGCCGGGCCGGGCCCAGTCGCCGGGCCCGGCTAGTCACGACTCGTGGCACCCGGTGACCAGGCTCGGCATTCTTCAAGTGAGTCTGTCTTGACTGACTCAAAGGTAAACGGCCTGACTGGTTAACTTGAAAACCGTCCCGGCAGAATGGCCCGGCCGCCGCCCAGCGAGCCTCGGAACGCACGGCCCTGTGGCACCGTCTGACTCACTGACTGAGTCGCGTGGCGGGCCGCCGCGGTACTGTACACGGCTCCCGGTATCCGGGCCGTGTGGCCGCGGCAATGAGTGGGCCGCCGCGGCCGATGATCAGCATCCGATCATCCGGCCGCGGGGTCCGAAAAAACTCCGGGCCCGGGCCGGGACACTGACAACGGTGCCCGTAAAGCTAATTGCCAGTTCCAGTACAAAATTTGAAGATTACTCCTAAGAATGATGGTACAAATATAATAATAGTTTTCTTCTCATTATCGAGTCTCGGTAGAGATTTATATATAGTAATTTAATATTCTTACCATTGCGATTAAAAATTTCTACAAGTTTTCTTAAAACAAATCTAAACATGCGCATAAAGGTACAAATTTACATTGCCCTTGTTAAATTGCTGACCGCCACAATGCAGGACTCAGACGAGAGGAGTGAGGTGAGCGGGGGAGGAGGAGGAGGAGGGAGAGGAGGATGATCAGGATAGGGAGCTGAACCAGATTCAATTGTGGAAGATGAAGGGGACAGGTGAAGAGGTGAAACAGTAGATTCATCAGGAGACGAGAGGTGATGGTGAGCGGATTACGAACGATGCAAGGTAGTGGTATGCACTTTTAAGCTCGAATCAGGGTGAAGAGATGCAAGGGGGGGAAGATCACACATGACTGGAGAGCGGAATGCTGTGCCATGGAGGGGCGAGGATTGAGTCCAAGGAGATTTAGTGATACACGGAGGCACAGCAGCAGGTTAGAGGTTTCCCAGTCGATGTCTTAGAGCGTAGACGATGCCCCCAAACTGTTCCAGAGCTGCTGGACTGGCATTCAAGACGAGTGGTATCTTTGCTCTATTCATTGAAACAAAATCGTTCAGAATCACCAGCAACCGTGTTTTTGCACTTTGTTCGTATCCCATTTCCGTATGTGGTAGGAGAGATGAATGTTGTTCATATGCTTGTATTTCCGTGTTGTGATGAACTTGAAGCCACGTCAATGACGGTCTCGCAACATATCAAGCTCGTGGGAAGTACCCCGGCGTTAATATTCGGTGGCAGGACATGAAGGTGGATGTCGTTCACTGTGCTGGGCACAAGCGCAAGCTCTGCTCGCTGGGGACGGGCGAGGTTGTGCATGTCTTGAACTTTCGGGCACATCCGGACAAGACGCAGGAGTTCGAGAGGATCGCGCAGAGGCTGGCCCACTGCTTCTACCACATGGAGTCGGGGATCAGCGACGTACGGGTCTGCCATCCCAAGTGCGGAGAGGTATGCTTCGTGCTCACGTTCCTCAGCAAGAGCGACCTCGAGAGGTTCCAGGCCGGGCCCGAGCGCGACGCGACGGAGGCGCTGAAGTCATGCATCGAGGGGGGGATCCCCTCGTTCGCGGTGTCGGGGACGCTGATGCCGGATACGCACACTTTCTCCTCCCTCCTCACGTTCCTCAAGGCCAACATCAAGGGGAGCAACTACAACGCGCACGACTGCGAGGTTGTGAAGCGGGAGATGGCGAAGTGGTTCCCGAGGAAGGAGGAGTACGAGAGGTACGTGTACTGGGACCCTGCCGACCCCACCAAGTACACGAGGAATCTGGTGTTTGCCAATGAGCACATGGACGTCCTGCTCATGTGCTGGCCGCCCCACTCGAAGAGCGCGATCCATGGGCACGAGGACAGCAGCTGCTGGGTGGTGCTGGTGGAGGGCGAGGTGCACGAGATCCAGTACAACGTGCCGAAACTGGACAAGAAGTTCATCGAGACGCAGATGAAGAACCCGACGGGGGCGATCGGGAGGTGCTCGAAGCTGCGGGTGATCCACGAGGTGAAGCTTAGCGAAGACGGCCTGACCAACACGTACGCCAACGACGACATCGCCGTCCACCGCATCGAGAACAGGTCCGACCGGCCGGCCTTCACACTGTGAGTCTCTTCCCTCCCTCTTTTCCTTTGCCCTCCTCCTTACCGGCTCTCGGTAGGCACGTGTATGCGCCCGGGCTGAGGAAGATGAAGATCTTCAAGGACAGCGGGGAGGTATCGCTCCGATCGCTCTCCCTCCCCTTCCTCGTCTCCTCATCCCCTCCCATCCCCTCCCCTCCTCTCCTTGCTGCTGTTTCCCTGGCTGTCACGCTGATCCGGGGCTCCTCCTCCAGGTGTTCGTCTACTCGGTCGCTTCCATCCCCTACATGTCCGAGCATGGCAGTCGCACGGGGAGATGGGGGAAAGACACGGACCCTGACGGCATCCTCGACATCGAGGCCTGGAACAAGAACCAGCTCGGCAGCTCTCCTGTCATCTCCTCCATGCCCAACCCCCCAGACATGGAAGTTGGTCCTTCGATCTGAGAGCATTGGAACAGGGATAAAGATGATGAGGGAGAGGAGGAGGAGCAGAAGTCGTGGTGGTGGTGGTGGGAGGTGAGGAGGAGAAAGGAGATTAACGCTTGAGCTGGTGGAGACATCTATTGTTGGTCCACCATGCAACTTCCTAGACGCTGGGGATGGTGCCATCAGACCTTTTTTCCCTCCTCCTCCTCCTCCCCTTCCTCCCCCTCCTCCCCCTCCTCCTCCTCCCTCCTCCAGGACGGGCACAAACATGCTCGGAGCGCACCTGCATCGTGTCAGATCCTCCTATACATCGCGTGCTCAACGTACGTTGGCGGCTGCTTGGCGAGCTGGTGAAGGAACAGAAACTCGTCGAGGACACGTGAGGCTGTTGGCTGCTGGAGGATGGCGAGGACGACGAGATGAAGGATGAAGGAGCGAGCGGCTGCAGAGAAGCTGAAGATGCTGTAGGACGCGAGAGTGGAGGACACTTGAGGAGGAAGGGACTTGGTCTGAGAGGAAGGATGTTAAGATAAGAATGTAGAGCATGACGTCACCTTGAGGTGCCGACTTGTGTACTCCCCAGCAATCATCGACAGCACCATCATGTTGTTCCACATCATCTCGTTGTCGAGGAACGCTGCCTCCCCCTCTCCTGCTCCCTGCTCCCTCCTCGCCGCTTCCTCCCGCTCGTCTGCGATCGATACGCAGACTCCTCCGTCCTGCAGGCATGTCGTCCTCCTCGGTTCGTCTTCGCACATGCCTTCAAACTGCGAGCGACAGAAGGAGGCTGAGGGGAGGAGGAGGAGGAGCCGCTCCTCCCGGTCCCCGGGCTGCTGAGAACCGAAGTCTTGGAAGGCTAAAGAGATCTCCACCTGCTCTTGGTGAGAACAGAGCAGAGCAGAGCAGAGCAGAGCAGAGCAGAGCAGAGCAGAGCAGAGCAGAGCAGAGCAGAGCAGAGCAGAGCAGAGCAGAGCAGAGCAGAGCAGAGCAGAGCAGAGCAGAGCAGAGCAGAGCAGAGCAGGTAGGGGAGACAACTCAGCGAAGGGCGGAGAAGGAGGAGATGAACAATGTGAGGTTACCAGCATCGCTTTGACTTGCATGGGGTTCAGAGCTGCTTCATGGCTGTTGAGAAGGTTCGCATGGAGCAGGAGGCGACCTCGTTCCCCCTCTGATGCGATCTCCCCCTCCTGCACTAGGACCTCCCTGCAGAGTTCTGTGGGAACGAGCACAACGAGCGCGGGGAAAGGAGCAAGAGAACGCTGCGAGAAGGGGGGCAGGAGAAGGCTGACCGCAGAGCATCTATCCTACACCCCATCCATCCCTCCCTCCCTCCCTCCCTCCCTCCCTCCCTCCCTCCCCTCCTCGTTCCCTCAACTCGATCCTAAACGCTGCCTGCTTCTCCCTCTGCCTGCCTTCTCACCTGTTGGGGCCCAGCAGCAGCACATGAAATCTGCTGGCTCGGAGGGAAGGAGAGGAGGCAAAAACCTTCCTGCCCTGAAGATACACGAGGACGGACAAGCTACGCGCCGGGAAGCTGACTCCAGCTCAGATGCAGGAGGAGGGAGAAGGCTGGGAAGGGGAAGGGGAATGGGAGGGGTGGGAGGCATGGGAGCAGCAGTACAAGGTAGGACAGGATAGAGACGCTAGGGAGAAGGGAAAGGAGAGGAGAAGGAGAAAAGGGAAGAGAGGAGGGGGGACTGAGAGAGGAAGGGAGGGGTAGGTACCTGATTTGAGGACCGAGGAGAATGTGGGCGTCCTCTTGCTCGAGCAAGCGCGAAGAAGCTCTTCCTCTCAAGTCACAAACTTCCTCCTCAGGGCAAGTGTATCCTATCCATGGCTGTTGACAGCTAATGAGCGAGCAAGAATGCCCATGTTGTTATTGATGATGATTATCAGAAGGAGGAGGAGGAGCAGCAGCAGCTGCAGCAGTAGCAGCATGCACCTCTTGCCAGCAGTCGAAGGCTTTGGTTCCTGCCGCGCTGTGGATGTAGGCGAAGTGACAAAACCTGTGAACTTGGCGGAGCTCAAGGAAAGTGGCGATCTGCTGGAGGTCAGGGGAGGAAGAGAAGTGAAGAAAGGAGACAGCCGAGCAAGAGAGAAAATACAAAGAGAAGATGAGATGAGATGAGATGAGATGAGATGAGAGATGAGATGAGAGATGAGATGAGATGAGATGAGATGAGATGAGATGAGATGAGATGAGATGAGAAGAGAAGAGAAGAGATGAGATGAGAGAAGGGAAGAGGAGGAAGGAGGGGAGGGGAGGAAGGATGGGAGGGAGTTTGTTTCTTCACCTGCATCCATCGGATCTGCGCGTCGCCCCAGCCATTCAGATAAATTCCATGAGACTCATCGAGGGCCTGCGGTACCTCCCATCATGTACATGCTCACCCTCCCTCCCCCTCCTCCTCCCTCTCCTCCTCTCTACATCTTCTCCCTCCTTCCCGTCTCCCTCGAGTTCCCCTAACTCCCCTTCTTCCTTGCTACCTCCTCTTCTCCATCCTCCCTCCCTCCTCGTCCCTCTCCTATCTCACGTCCCCCCCCTCTCCTCCTTTCTCCCTTCCTCCTCCTCCTTCTCCTCCTCTTCCTCCTCCTCTCACCTTGACGTAGCTCCACACGTCCTCTTGCACGAATCTCCTCACGCTCACCAGCTCGAAGTTGGTGTAAAACATCGCCACGTCTGCGTGAGCTCAGCTGAACCCCAGCAGCAGAGGGTGGCCGACCCGCGTCCTCGGAGATGTTCGGGTACCCAAGGAGACGGAGGAGGAGACCTTTGCTGTCTCCTGCTCCTGCTCCTGCTCCTGGGCCCTGCCCTGTTTCAAGGCAGGAGGACGATGTATCTTTCATGTACTGGAGGTGAAAGCGCCACAGTCCTCTCGTCTTGCCCGTCCAGTCCTTTCCTGCCTGTCTGTACCCATAGGAGATGTTCCTGCGCAAAAAAGTGAAAGAAAGGACGAGAGATTAGGAGGAGAAGAGAAGAGGAGGAGGAAGAGAAGGAGGAGGAGCAGGAGGAGAGAAGAAGAGCAGAAATGAAGATGTTTCCCTCCCCCGCTATACTAGCTCCTCCTCCTCCCACCTCTTCCTCATTACCATTTCCACCCTCCCTTCGTTGCCTCACTCTCAACTCTCAACTCTAATGCTCACTCCCTCCTCCCTCCTCCCGCTTCCCTCCTCCCTCCTCCCTCCTCCCTCCTCCCTCCTCCCTCCTCCCTCTCGTTGATCTCCTGCCCCCCTCCTACCCCCCTCGCGTTTTCCCTTCTCACCTCTCCTGGGCATCCTGGAAGACATCGAGGAGCGGGGTCGCAAAGAACGAGTCTGTGTCCAACCTGCTCCTCCTCAGCTCTCGACCTTCACGTCTCATCTGGACCTCATGAACATCTCCAGCTCTCGCACAGCTGCATGCTCGAAGACTCCTCGCACCCAGAACCTTGACATGTGCTGCTCCAGGGAGTGACCGGCATCCCTCCACCTCGCACGCCAGCACCTGGTAACCCCACGCAGATCGCTTGGAGTGAACGCTCGTCCTCCCGCCCGGGTTAAAGTTTGCGGGGAACGACATGTCGGCGACGAGAAACTCTGCGAAGAGGAAGGAAGGAAGGCAGCGGGAGAGAGAGGGCGAGGAGAGGAGCGGAAGGAGGCAGAGGAGAGGAAAGGAGCAGAGTGGGGGGGGTGAGGGAGGTGGGGAGACAGAGGGGAAGAAAGTGAAGAGAAAGGAGAGTTGTGAGCAAAAGTAGACGGAAAGAGGAAGAAGCGGAGAGAGCAGGAAGGGAAATAAGGTGAGCAGGAAATCTACTGAAGCACAAACACCCTTGGTCACTCACCCACATTCGCTGCAGTCCAAGTTTGTATCATTGCAATCAAGTCTTGATCCCATTCTTCGCTGCAGACACGTTAAGAAACAAGAGGGGGAGGGTAAGAGAGGCAGGGCAAGGAAGGCGGAGGAGCAACCAAGGAGAGGGGGCACAGAAAGGAGCACGGAACAAACGAACAACAAGATGGAGGCGGGAGCAGGAAACAGGAGGCAGCAAGCCAGTGGAGGAACGGGCAAGTGTTTGAGCAGGAGAGAACAGGAATGAAGGAGCAGGAGGAGTAGGAGCAGGCGACAATTTGAGCTCTACCGGAAGAGGAAGACTGGGTAGCAGAAGGAGTGAGGACGGAGAAAGTGAATTTCGAGAGCCCTCAAGCTCGCGCGCAGAGACTCCAGGTCGAATTCCCTGAATGTACGCGAGATGGAGGAGGAGGAGGAGGAGGAGGAGGAGGAGGAGGAGGAGGAG